TGTAAATGTATGTATCTGCTCGTAATTTTATAAGCTTAAGAAAATGTTACATTTTTAGCAATTATCAGCCATTTATCTTATATAGAAAGACTACATTTATTAAATGTTAAAGTACTTTCTTTTAATTTTTGTTCTTTGTCTAATTGAGATGAGAGCTTTTGAATTTCTTAAGCTTGTGATTACATTGTTTGGCAGGCAAAACATTGTCGAAGATGATACAGCTATTTGCTTTTTTGGGCTCGCATTACCATTTCAAAAAGCAAGGGGATTACTTTGTTTTGCAGCAGCACCATACCGCTGTGGTCCCAAACAACTATAACAAACGGAAACGATTTATTTATAAATTAATCACAAACCTCAAAAATCATTTCTATGTTTTTAAGCTATCATTTGCAAAGACACTATTTATATTATTTTTAAACTCCTTTCAAACAGTGTTGCTTGATGAGTTAAGGTATGTAATTCAGCTTCTCTGTACTTTATCTTTACCTTTTTGCATGTGGGGGAAAAATGAATCGAAGATGATTTTTTAAAACTTAATAACCTTCTGTGCATGTAATAGATGGGTGTTTCTGTGCGCCCATGCGCTTAAAGTCTTACGTCCATAGGTGTGTGCGTGTTTTTCCGAAGTTGTGTGATACCCTGCTGGAACGTGGGATCTGGCGCCGAGGCCATTCGGACCGGCCTCCACAAATCTTCGCTCGCAGGACACGGCCGGTCATGTGTATTGTGTAGTGCACGGAGGACTGTCAGTGTGGTATAAGAGGAGAGGAAGGGGAGAAGGTTGAAGAAAGAAAGTCATAGCGCAGTCCGTATGTTACGTAGGGAATCTAGCGTATTTAGGACCCATGGAAGTATTAGAATTGCGCCCCTGTCAGGATCCTTCAATTGGGTTTTGTTATTTTGTTTTAGCGGGTATACTGCTAAATAGCGCCCTCTCGCGAGTGGTGCCCAATGGCTCGTGGCTATATCTGCCATAAGCCATAGACCAGCGTCTGCTGTGTATTGGAACAGGCTTTCGCCTGGTAAGTAATCGGAAGATGCCACGGAGCAACTACGCAATCATATGGCAGCCGCCACAGATTCCGACAGGGCATCTTTGCACGAATGTCATGCCATGACATCGATTGATCCAGTGGTCTTAAAAAACATGCACCAAACAAACCGACAACAAAGAGACTTTTTTAAAATAATTACTTTTTTTCGGGATTCTCTTTCTTTTAACTCGCATTTCATTTTGATTTCGGCCTGAATTATTTGTTGGGTGTTTGGTGCGACGGACGGCAGAGCTAAGGAAGGGCAGCGGGCATGGACGATTCGTGTTCGGGGCAGTGAGGGGCGCTGCGGCGCGCATTGGCGCGGGGGACTGCGCACGGGAGGAGCGCGGGTCGGGGCGCGGCGGTCCAGGTCAGTTAATTAGCGGCGCGTCGGGGTTTGGAATTATTGGTGCCGTTAATTTCCTTCTCCGCGAAGCGCTTCTATCGGCGCCCTCCCAACGAGCTCTCCTATACGCGCATCAAGTAAATGAAATCTTGCACAATCATTGGCTCATTCAGCATGAAAAGGTTTGCTTTGGGGGAATGGGCTTCTTACAAAACTCGAACTAGGCCATGTGCCGACGGAACAGTCCCAGCCGTACGGTCAAATATAATACCTTTTTTGTAGCTGCATTCCGATAAACTACTTATTACAGACGGCGCGTGCGCTGTATATTAATTACGCTAACACAACGCATTCGATTTCTGGAACGTGTGTCTCTGTATTTTTCATTCATGCAGGTTTATTAGTCTTTAATGAAACGTTCGGCGCGCGATCTAAATTGACGCGGGCTTTTCTCATTACGAAGCGTAAACTCCTGGAGGAGGCGCGCGGGAGAGGCGGCGAGGGACGGGCGCGCCTAGCGTCGCCGCTGCTGAGCGTGCGTCGAGGCCGTGCGACGCGCCATTCTGAACAGGTCCGCGCCGCGGATTTGGGACGAACTTCGAGCAGGCAAAGCGGAAAATATGACAAGGGCTGGAGAAAACTTGTTTGCAGGAAACACAACACACACATAACTGGGACTCGTAGAGAAATAAATTGTAAATTTCATTGAACGACTGTGATTTTTTTGTCCACGTTTTTTAATCACTCGAATAAAAATCAATGTTTTAATATCCTTGACAATGAACGATTTGCAAGTAAATATCGCAATTATTCTTTTCGAATTCGATACACCTATTTTTATGTGTTAGCAGTTTTCAGATTACAATTTTAAAAATCAAGTCAACTTGTTGTTTAATGTCTAATTGTTGTAAGTTACATAATACATGTAAGTAACCTACATTGTTGTAAGTTTAACTCAGGAAATTTTGGTTTTTCGTAATAGATATCTTTGCACAGTAAAATGGAAATGAAAAATCTGCTGAGCCATTGTGGCGCAAATTTCTTCCTGAAGTAGAATAATATATTTTTTGGGTTAGAAAGACTTGCGAACTGTGTGTGAGCAATTCTGAAAGAAGAGCACTTTATCTGTAATGACTTAGGGTTAAAATTAAGTTCTTAAATATTCCGATATAAAATTAACTTTCGAGGGAATTGATTATTTTCATCCATACTTCTGAGATAGCTCCAAGAATACTTTAAGAGCGCAAGATGTAAAACCTTCCTGCATTGTTTTCCCTTCTCTGACTCGCAGTAAGACATTTAAACACGACATACTTATATTTTGAATGCCAAGAAGTAAATTTAAAGTTATTGGTAGATGATCACATAATCTGATAATTGTGACACAATATAATGTTGCCTTTTCGTGATAATGTACTGTTTTTGTTATATATAACCTTAATGCGACCAAAATAGAGGAGGCGAAAAGCCACATTAACGGCCGAGTCCGTTACACATTTAACACGGCGTCGATGCGTTAAGAATAATGGAACCAAAGAATTGAAGTTTAAGTTGGCTTACGAAAACACTTACTTCAAGAATATGGTAATTTTTACATGATTTTTTACTGTTCCCGTATAACGTACGTATATACGGCAGTATATCCTTAATATCGAGACAAGCATGGTAATGGCTGCGGAAAATGCGATTACGAGCTTTCGACAAAACTGCAACGTTTTTGGGTTCCCCTGATACCGAAAAAGGTTTTTCCCGCCCAAGATCCGTCCGTCCGTCTGTCAGTTAGTCAGTCTTTCTTGTCTGTCTGACTGTCCTGTCCGTTTGGTCCCGTCTGTCAGTCTTCCCGTTCGTCAATCTGTCCGTCTGGTGTCTGTAAACACTACTAGCGCTAAAACGCAACGTAGGATTTTTTCCAAATTGAAGAAACCTGTGTCGATCCTGGCTCGAGTTGGAATCTTTGGATTTTGAAAAAAAACTCATTAAATTTGGGGGTACTTTAATAACAAAAGCCGCCCGGATATTTTTCAAAAATTTTATTCAAAAATGTTCCACATTTTTTCTTTAAATTTCTTGTACGAATAAGAGTAACATACCTTGTAAACGTGCATACGGTCGCGATTTTTTCATGTTAACTCCTGAATTTTTCGAAAATTTTCAAAAGTATACAATGTTTTTTCGGTGTCTTCACAATTAAAATTAAATTAAAAATAGAGATTTTCATCAAAAAAAATTTGTTCTCAGATAGTGAGTTTTCTTTCTTAAGGGTTCATGAACATTATACTAAGTTTAGGTCAGTTTTTCGCACAATTTACGTGCAATGTGTTTCAATTTTTAAAAATATACAAAGGAAGATTTTGGTCAAAAACGGATCCAATTTTTGCTTTCAACTTTTGGTTGGGATAGTGCTACATTCTCTCAAGATGAGAGCTCTTATATATATATATATATTAATATATATATCAATATATATATATATATATTTATATATATATATATATCGAATTTTCAGTAGCGCTCAAACGCCATTTTCTTAAAACCGGCACCAAATTTTTCAAAGAAAATTTCCATTTAGGGCGAGGTTTTACTGTTCTTTAATATTCTTAAAATAATATTTCTGTTATACTATTAGGAAAGTGACAAATTAAGAAAATTTCAAAAATACGTATTTTGGGATTTGATAGATGGCAGCTGACGAGTATGTGTGAAGTCTGAATAGCTAGAGGAGACGAAAGGAAATAGAAAAATAATACGGGAAAGTCTGTGCCGTTCTGTAACACCATTAATTTTCTGGTAAGAAGATGCTAAAACGAAAAGTATTGAACGGCACGCGATGGAGTAGTTTGTAAACCTCCGCCTAAACTACCGCCTAAGATTACAACCGTCAACCGCGTCTCAAGATTTGCTGCTTATCGCCCTAATGACGATAATAACTATAATGACTTCAAATAATAAAGTATCTCTCACCTTAGGTAATCCCGCTTGCAGAGGATGAGGTTCGCTTTGGTGTATAGCGTGGAGCCCACTTCTCCAAGGCGGCAGTCACAACAGCCGCACTTTAGGCAGTCCTCGTGCCAAAACATGTCCAATGCCTACGAAGGAAGACGGCGGTCATCAGAAATTGGTGTTACTCTCGCTGGTTGGACACGGTGGATTTGGAAACTAAATTATGATTAGTCAGCAAGGAAGTAATGTCTTACATTCAATTCTCAGAGAAAAATAATTGTTTACAATTTGAGATACTGTTCTGTGGAACATTTGTTATCAAGGTACAGTCATTTATGTTTGCATGTAAATTTATTACTTGACTGCACATAATTGTATAGGACATGAATATATTAACAACATTTATACGACTTACAAAAACAGTGAAACCTGCTTAAATGGCCACCTTCGGTCACCTCTATTAACAGCTATTTTTTCTTTTAATCGATCACCTTTTAACCGGTCTTTTAATCGGTTGACCTCCAGTCAGCGTCTGGGAGCATTTAGTAAATTAATCTGTATTGGACGATCAAAATTTCGTGACGAATTTACGATTTTGAACTGTGTAAAAAAAGTAAGACTGGAGGTGTTTACTATTGGTTCAGTGTTTTCCTACGTCCGGACGCACTATGAAAGTACTGAATTGATATCTAGAGTTGCTTATCTCGCGGGTATGTCTATTAACGTCTGTTTTATATAATTTGTATGCATCTTCTGAAGTTTCCTCAAAGTTGCGGCTTCAAATGTAGTTGGAAATCAAGTCCACGAATGGAAAGAAAGAACCAATGGTGTTAAAAAGAAAGTAAAGCAAATCCTGAAAATTGAAAGATTTTATAAACGAGTTTTTTCACTGGAGAAAATGTACTTCCGGATTTTGAACTTTGAAGTGCAATTAAAAATGCGACAACGAAGAAACCATACTTCTCTTCCTTGCAAGCAAAATTACTGGAGATGTCCGTTACCTATATTCTCTTACCTGGATTAAGCGGCCACCTGTACTATGGCTACTTTTCTCCGAAACCATTAGTGATCGCTTAAGACAGGTTTCACTGAACTTTTGAAAAAAAAAAACAAAAACATTGCATTGAATTTTCTATTCTTAAGGACGTTTCTTGTGATGGTGCAGAAAGCTAGGTACTTAACCTAACGTAACCTAACATGCTAATTTTGTAATTTAGTAAAATACGTAAATATAAAATTAAATACTATTCATGACTATACAAGATACTTTACGACAATATCGAATGTAACGAAAATACTATACGATAAAAACATTTACTCCAGAGATAACTCACGAGCTCCTTGGTTGCTTAGAAATAATACTTTAATCTCTTAGATAGAGACCATTATGTGCAAGTTAGCTGAGCAAGTTAATTATTTATGAGTACTTTAGGGCAAGTCATTTTTATTAAGCACACAATGGTCTTTTAGTTAGGTATAATACCTGATCCTGTATACTTTATCTGATCGCCCTTTTAAAGCTTTTGACATATTTTCTAACTGTTTGATATGATTTTCTAATAACTATATCTTATCGAATGCTAATAACTAAATAAATTCTTTCATTCTTTTAAATAAATTCTAATAACTATATATATTTCTTATAACTGTATGATATGATTAATGTTTTTACAGTGATGACAGAACTCTTTATTACATCAGATAGAAGAAAGAGCCATTTATCTACCGCTGGAAGATTCATTGTATTGGTAATAACAATGGGATACGTAAGTAACCAATATATACAGGAGATCGTTTATTTAAACGACTCATTATTATTATTATTATTATTATTATTATTATTATTATTACTGTTATTATTAATATGATTATTATTTTTATTACTGTTATTATTATTATTATTATTATTATTATTATTATTATTATTATTATTATTATTATTGTTGTTGTCGTTATTGTGTTTTAGAGCGTGTGCGCACTCACCTTGAGCAAGGTGATCGCTCGGTGATGCGCTTATCCGCAGGCCGCGCACTCGCGTGGGCCCGCCCCCGCGGCGGGCGGGGTTGGCCGCGGACGCGACGGCCCGCCGCCGCCGCAGGCGCCGCCGGGGGCGGGGGGGGGGCCCCCCCCCGGGGCCCGGCGGGAAGGGGGCCACCCGCGGCCGGCCGCCACCCGCACCGCTGGCTTCGCCCCGCGGGCTGCTCAGCCCGCCGTGTCTGCAACACAAGCACACACAGACACGCTACCCATTGCCACGATATTTGGAGAGAGCGTATGTCTTAGCAAACCGTTGCTGAAACAAAATCCACGAAAATTTCGTTTTTTAATTAATTATTTCCACTTGTGGAATTAATACAACAATACTTCTGGTCACGCGGATCCGGATCTTTTTTTCTAATCCCAATTTTCCTTACAACTTGCCTCTATCTCGCTAACATCAAACGTGCAACACATCAGTCACTGAAGGTGTCACGTTGGTGCGCATTGAAAGCGTGCGTGTTCATTTATATAATTAAAGTTGTTGCATTTTGGAACTATTTCCGAAAGGATTTAATTTGTGGGAAAGTTTTATTACAATGGTGTACAACTTTGCTTCCGCCGTTTTTAACAATAGTTGCTTACAGTGTAATAACGTTCCGCGATAAACAAGATCGCCAGAACGCAGGCAAGTTAGCTGTGAGGCTTCGGCAACATAACCCCATTCAAATTTAGGATTTGTGTGTGCAAACGTAAAGTTGTTTCGCGATTGTGAAATGTCAGTGTACAGCCGAATTCTCGCATTTGCGGGGAGACTCTGCCTTTTTTGTTTCAATATGAAGAACTGCGGCGAGTCTCATCGAATGCTCTCCACTACTTATGTGAGGACTGTATAGTGAGAGGAGAAACGTGTTCGCGAGTGGTTTCAACGCTTCAGGAATGGTGACTTTAACGTTGAAGACCGGCATAGTGGCGGAAGAGTGAAAGTTTTGAGGATTGCAAAATTGGAGGCATTGCTGAGTGAAAAACTCGCGTCAAACTCGAGAAGAAACTGACACGATCATTGGGGCGTGACACAGCAAGCCATTTCAAAAACGCTCTCAAAGCCATGGGTATTGATTCAGAAAGAACGAACATGCGGTCCTATTGAGTGAAACCGGAGAGACATTGAAGGCGTTTGTGTGCTTTGTGAACAGTCTCAGAGCCGGACAGAACGGAAGTTTTCTGCATCGTGTTGTGACCGGGGACGAAAAATGGGTTCATTACGATAACCCTAAACGGAAAAAAATCATGGGCGTATCCCGGCCATGCTTCCACGTCGAACGGCAAACCGAACATTTCATGGGCAACAAGATCATGCTCTGCATTTGGTGGGACCAAGCTCGGCGTTGTGTACCATGAGGCTTTTAAAACCCAATGAAACAAATCATGGTGATCGATATCGAACGCAATTAATATGCGTTTGAGCCCGAGCATTTGAAAGACAAAACGCCCGCAAATAGCGAGAGACACGATAAGGTGATTTGCTGCATGACAATGCTAGCCCCACGTTGAAAAGAGTGGTCCAAAACGTACCTGGAAACGTTGAAATGACGTCCTTACCCCACCCGCCGTATTCTCCAGGACGTTGCTCCCTCTGATTATCACTTGTCCGATCAATGGTCCACGACTGGCTGACCAGCAACACTTCCGATCTTTTGAAAAATGGTCAAAAAGTTGGATTGATTCGTGGATCGCCTCCAAAGATGAACAATTTTTTCGACGCGCATTCGCACCACTGCCGAAAGATGGTTAAAAGTTGTGGCCAGCGATTGCGACATTCTCTGAATAATATCTGTGTAAGCATTTTTGTTCAATAAAGGGTCATATTTTTGAGGAAAAAACGGCGGAAGCAAAGTTGTATACCTTGTAAATACCAGGAGCGCATTGGAAATTTCCAGACAAGTTACCAATTTATTCGTGGTTATCTGTAATAATAAATTACTTATGATTATGTACTAAAAACACTTGTTAGTATGGCTTAGAAATTTCACTACAGATTTCCAATAAAACACTCTTTTCTTCCTTTTACTCAATACTTTTATTTGGAATTAATTTATAATTAAAAACATCTATTATTTGTTAAATATACTTATAATAAAAATATCCTTCAATAAACGATTCATCATGACTTTCTTATCATAACGAAGTATTGCGTCCTCATATTTAAAAAAAACAATGAGGGGATATTATATATTCCTTATGAATTTCAATAAAGAGTCAAATTTATTATCCGCTGGAAATGTAATGTGTACTAAATAAAAATTGAACAACTGTTATAGTAGAAACATTACCAATATCTTTTGAAGTTTTTTTTAAATAGCAGAAACAGACCCTTTTACTAAGGTACTTCTGGACTCGTAACACTGACTGTCACTTTAGTGGGAGGGAATACCTACTAAACTTATTTTCAAAGGCATACTTTTGCACCCTCTTTCCTAAAGTCAGTATATTGTGTCCAATAAACATCACATGAAATATTCTTAGTCGAAGATGTTTTATACATGTGAATAATTTGTTTTTCAAGAGGAAAATAAGTGAAATTTTGAAAATCCATCGCTTGGCTTACAGTAACTGCATTTTAGGTGTTCTTATGCGAACCCTCATTTCGCCACAGAAAATCACTTTGAAATAGTTTTCAGCAACTCCTTGTGTGGCTGCGAAACCAACTAGTGTCAAGTCAACCTTCGCGTTTCTTGGCATCACAAACCCTCTCCGATCCTAAATAAATCAGTGTGTCCTCGGCAGTTGGAGATTCAGCATCACGCAGAATACCATCGCACAAAGGAACGCCTGGCCGGTAAGCCCATATTCACCGACCACGTTGCATTTCTTCTCCACAAGAGCGGGCGAGCTGGCAGAACAAAAACACGAGCGCCGCGTGCGGTGGCGACACTGCTCGCGAGCGCGCCCGCTCGTTCCGGGGTCGTTTCTAAGGAAAATGCTAAGTAATGCATATTTCGCCTTTGTGAATATTCCGCGTTATTGTTGTTATGCAAAGCTCCCAACGGAATCCGCGCGACCTCGCGCCGGAGGAAAAAAAAAAAAGCGCAACGCGTACATTGCGCGCGTAACATCCCTGCACTCGCCCCGGCACTGTGCGCGCACTGGGGGCGCGGGTGTCCGGCGGTTGGGGAGGCCTTGGCGGGCCGG